TCACAAAAGTCTAGCTTGTTTGTCCCAGAAATGTCAATACCTGTCACAATAGCTTTTGAAACAATTGTCTTCATCTGAGGTAAATTCATGTGACCCATTCTTTGATGCCATAGATTTATTTTTTGATTTTATGTTTCCGCCACCGATGCTTGCTTTCTTCCTTCCTCAACCTTGCAGTCTAGGCAATACATATTACCAGCAAGACGACCTTTAGCAATAAGTTTTCATTTAGCATTCTTTATCCAGCAAAGTGTGTGTCCAAATTGTACTACATTTCCTTTTGCAGTGACAGCTCGGGCACTAAAGAGATTAGCAGTTAGTTTGGGAACATATAGGACTTTTGCCATTGATGACTTTCGTTGATACTTTTCTTTTGGTCCAAGGATCATCATGATTTGTATTTCTCCACTTCCACAAGCATCAACAGATCGACCATCTCCAAGAACGACGGGTTCTGGCACTGGGAATTTTTTTTAGTTCTGTAGCAGTTGACGGTTTGATGTCATATGTTGCCAGGCTCCTGAGTCGATGATCCAGTTGTCAGCACCTTTTACTGTGTTCAGACCAACGGCAAATTGGTGTTCGTTTAACGAAATATTCGCAGAGAGAAAATAAGTAAAAGTTTGTTTTCTTAATAAACAAACTTTCACTTATTTTTTCTCTGCGAACATTTCGTTAAACTAACAACAATTACCTGCAATATTGTTCAAGCAAAGAAAGGCACGCCACTTTTAGGTACCACTGGTTTAGTGTGGAGTGAAAGCCTTCAAGGCAACATGTATATGCATCAGGCCACAGGTGTTTAATGGCATTAAGCAATGTTTTCTTTATGAGAATATCATGCATTTTCTTACATGCTATTGTACCTTTGGCATATTTAGTACTTTCATAGTCTGTTTCAGTCATACTATAACGAAGATCATGGTGCAACATGTCAACCAAAAAAATATTGAAAATTCAGTACCTCTTCAATTTACCTATATTATCCATTATCTTCGTTCTAAATCATCATAGGCACATTTATAAATACTATATCAGGTTGATCACTGTGGATATCAGAGATGTGATTCATTGAAGATTTCCAATTTGCTAGAATCTTGGACCGAAATCCAAAAAAAACCCACAACATTTACCTATTCGTATTGATTATGGTTTAAATCGTTAGTTAAAGTTCAAAGCTCACAATCTTAATTTCATGTGAAGAGAAGATTGTATACACTCCAACTTTTGCAGATTATCCTATTAAATCTGGAAAAAACTTAATGCTTTTGATTTTTTTCCAGAAAAAATGCCTAATGTTGCTACGAATGATTTAAAATAACTGGGAAAAGAAACCTGCTTTGGTGATAAAAAATATATGCGCACATTATATACACACAAGTTTAAATGCCTGAAGACCACTATAATCCTACTAACATGAGCCCAAGCCATCAGAACAGAAAAGATGAAGAGAATCTTACCGCAGGTTGCCTTCCAAAAAGTAAACACATTATTACATGACAAAAATTTTTGTTTTACAGTAACAATGGCGCCATTTTTGTTTGTAGTCTTCTATTGTTTCTCAGTCTTACAGATGAAGCAAAAGAGAGGAAAAAGCATTACGAGACACCTATGGAAAACTATAAACTTTGACTCATCAAGAGATAAGACGTGGGAAACAACTCTAAAATAAAAGAGTTAGTTTTATACAACCCATAACTTTAACTCTTTAACAAACTTTTAAGATTTACTTACCTGATGCTACACCTAGATGATGCTAGATCAACACTATACTCATCATTACCAATATCATCATTCTCAACAAAATTCTTTGAAATATTCCAATGGTGTTCTTCATCAATTTCATGTAGTTCTTCTTCTTCATCTCTCATTTGGAACTATTCAATTTCACAATACTTTTTCTTCGCTACTAATATTACTAATATTCAAATCCCTTGCAGATATCCCGCTAGCAGAAGATGTCTATACTTCCGACAATGATTCGTTCGTTTCTGCCAGTTTCTTCTGCAGACGAAGAATGGTCCAAATACGTCTGTATTTCATTCGTCACTACAGGCATAAACTGGCATAAATTACGCAACTGCCTATTTTGTTTCCTCAAGCGAAGTACTTCTGTTTCCAAAACAGATCTTCTCTGTTTCATTTTTCTGTTAGCGTCTTGCATTATTTTCAACCTCTCTGAATACTTCTGACACTTTTGCAAGGCCAGACATAACCTTGTTCCAGCGGGTTTGAAAAAGACAACAGATTATTTGTGATCAGTTCTCCATCTTCATCTTCGCTGGCGTCTATAGAAACGTTTGTTTCCTCAGTTTCTTCTATGGCTTTATCTAATTCGTGCGTATTCACAGAATGTATTTTTTTTGTGTTTTTCCTAATATCTACGAGAGAATTATAATAATGTGTTCATTGTGTACTTTAAAAAATGGATCAGATGTACAACAAATAAGATTGAAGCATCAACGAGTCGTGATTTTGATAAATAACAGAACTTGTTGCTATTTATTTGTTACAGCATTCTTTACTGTGACACATTACAAATTTACTTACAACACGCCGCTCTTCCGATGATAAACCAACTTTTTTTTGTCAAAACACCTGAACAATCAAGTATGGGAATTTCGTTTTTCAAGCCATCTTCTCAAATTAAATTGCGAAAAAGTACATGCTTCACCCAAATTTAAATCTGGTCGACGCTCAAAGCATTACTTTTCGAAATGAGAACAACAAAATAGAGGTGTCACAGATGTTTTCCAATTTGGTCAATGTTGTTGTACAAACCGTGTACACTGCTCCTGAGAATTCTTGTGTTAACGAATTTTATGCATAGATATTTCTTCAAATTTTGAGTTGCTGTTAAAGCTAACATTTTAAGGGCCTCCAACAACACAGCTTTGCTATTGATTCTCTTTTCTTTTAGAATTTATGAGAGGCCTTCGCTCTCCATAGTTATTTTTACGAAAGTAACCATTCAGTTTGTCGTATTATTGTTTTTAATAAGTACGGACACAAAAACCTCTTTATATGTCTGTGTACGTATTTACATGAAGTTTTATAGTACATGACGTAAAGACGTCTACATAGAGATGTCCGGTAAATGACATCTCTGAGTTAGAGAGTTAGAGGAAGGGCATTCTAGTCAGCATTGTCCTGTAAATAATCTCTTTTACTTGCAGAAAAGGCGTAACTGTAGATAAAATCAATGAAATCTGAATTTATAGCTCATAAACTTACGAAAGTGGGAAAATATGTTAGTATTTTGCACGCAAAAGCACTTTTGTAGTTGCACTGTAACACATAGAAATAATAGAAATTACTTGACGGAGAACAAATCTACACAACCATTGGCGTCACGAAGTCATTTGGCCGCGCAGAAAAATGCCTGACAATTTTAGTGCGACAGTGTGGTGTTCAAATGAGATTTTCTATATTAAAGAATCGTTTTTAACCGCTAAAAAGTTTTGCCGGACTATTTTCAAGGTTTTTACTATGCAATTATTAAAAAAAATGAAACCACAAAATTTCGTTTTATAAACACTTTAAATTTGCCATTCTTTCTTCCTTATCCATTTGTCGTTCTCTGCTAGCGTCTATCCCCTGTTTGTCAGCAAGGCTCTCTTTGAGTACGGTCCAGCTTTAGCATCTGTCTCTTGTTTATATTCGTTATTATAAGACACTTGCTTTTTTTTCTTTTCAACTATTGTATGTACCGCAAGATAATAGTTGCATTATAAATCATCGTCAGGAATACGCTTATTCTCATTGTCAGATGTCGTCGCCGAAATTTTTACGTAAAACGTTAGAAAATACAGAAATCTAATGGTGCAGCACAGTATGTTTATAATGTTTTTATACATGGCATTTAAACCCGATTTCCTCGGACTACATCACTGGAGCCAGTCATTGCTTGCTGTCACTTCCATCGGTCCAGTTTCATACAGGCAATCTATATTCGCGTAAAAATTTGAAACGTATATAATGCATGCAACAGTAACTCAAGTTGATTTTGCGACATTGGTATGTAAAGGAGACAAGGTCCTCCGTTAGAAAGAAGTGAGCTGACACTTAAATGCTCAGAGCAGCTTCTACAAAACCAAAAACATGTTGTCTTTCTATATACATATAATCCCAGAATTTTACTCTTCAAAAGTAAGGAATGGATTTACTTATAATATGTTATGTGGGACAACTATTTACATAAAGTGGTGAAGCCATGATCTAAAGCAACTCTTGTATTAAGCGAGTTCAATACCCTTTGTAGCAATTCTTTAAAAAATTTCACGTAAAGTAGGTTAATCAGATAGTCAAGTACTTTAATTATGGCATCAGTAACATAGCTCTTAATATTTGTTTTGTAATTTTTACAATCATCTTAGGTCAATGCATAATAATGCCTCTTTAAAAGCTTATGAACAAAACTCTTTACCAGTAACAATCAATTTCTTACTAGGCTTTAGTGTTCAATGAAGAAATTATCGAAAGATGTGTTTCTCTCCTTAATTCGAAAAATGAGTTGTACATTCATTATAAGTTGCACACGGTTTAACCATGATTTATTAAAATTGACGAAATATATATTTCTATAACATGCTTCTCCAATGTTGTTACATAAGTGCGGAGGTGACAAGTTTTACATGCTGCCAAAATTCTCTACAAATTTCTTTATTTAAAATTTCCATTTTACTTAAATTTTATCAACAGTCTCGCCTTTTTGCCACCTCTCAAGGTACCTTGGAATAAATTTGCCTCATTGTGAAAACTGCAGTTAGATATCTAGATGATTGGGTCAAAGTATAGGGAATATACAGTAGGTCGACTTCGTGTGCAACTGGTTGCTGAGTATTTAATTAGATTACTGGCTGCCGTTATCCATTTTATCATTCCTATTGGTCAAAAAAAGAACTTGACTGGCTCCCACCATGGTAATCACATGCGTAATAAGATATTCGTGACAATAAGGGGTGACAATAAATGGTGACGTCACGCGCAAACACATAATATCTTCGCAGCTCTTCACCAGTGATATTATCATTATTTGATGAGTATAAAAGTCAAGCCACACTTCATCTTTTACGTTCGATGAAAAGTCGTCTCACGTAAATCTTTTATCAATTGTCAGGGAATTTTTTAAAAGTAAGTTTTAATATATTGACATAATGCTACGGATAGTATTATCATCGTTAATCTCTACGTATAAATGCGTGGATATCTAGGAGGTTGCTTCGGTTATTTTAAATCAAAATACCAATCAATCTCTCACTCCATTAGTATTAATTCAAACATACATAAAACACAGCTATTTATGAAAGATAAAACTGCGAAATGAAAGGTTTGTAAATTAACTAATATCACTGTACGTGTCAACACTGTGTTTTACTTGCTGCTGTCAAAATTTTTAAAACATTTTTTATTCGAAGAAAATGCGACAATTTTTGTTTAACTTAGTCAGTTATTGATACTTTAAACAACGTAGCTTTTACGTTTTCTCTTAAATTACTTATAAATGTAAAAATATCGTCATCTACGAAGAATTTTTATTTGTATCACAGATGCAATGAGCCTTATCTATTTTGTTTTGTTTGATATGCAAATAAGTTTGCCTGTTGAAATTACTTTTAATTAATATTCAAGTTATAATAACAGCAAGCTTTGCCAAGAAATTTGCTTAACTATTATTCCTTCCATGTTCTAACCACAAACGGTTGAAAACAAATCAAATTTTGTTGTTTCTCGTTTGAAGCTAAGGCTCCAAAGCTAATATTTACAGTTTCATGCACGTTGTGATTCACACATGCTCGCGAGAAATCAGTTTTTGACATGAAGAGAAATCGATATAGATGAATTGACCCAGACAGCAAATGAAAATTAGAGGTTTGCGTTGAAGTCTCATTTTATGCGGCACAACCAGTTTGAATGGTTTTCCGCAATTGCACAATTATCAGAAACAAGGGACTAAAGTACCTATAAAACGGTTAGCACTATTTTCCACCCAGCAAACCGCCCTTTACTTTGAAATATAATATTTTACACAATCGGAAATAAATTAAAGATGGCGGCTAATGGGAAAGAACCAAAGCTAAAGGAAACCATGCATGCACTGGTGCTCGGTGGTTTTGAGATGGCGAGTAATATTATATTTTTATAACACAGTTTTAATATCAACGTATGAAAATATTTACAGATAAATATTGCAGTATAAATTTTCATGCAACCACCTTAAGTTATAAACTTATAATCCAGGCTGGAAAATATGTCGTTTTTCGACGATTGTGTAAAATATTATATAAAATATTATATTGTGTAAAATATTAGATTGTGTAAAATATTTTATTGTGTAAAATATTATATTGTGTAAAATATTATACTGTGTAAAATATTATATTTCAAAGTAAAGGGCGGTTTGCTGGGTGGAAAATAGTGCTAACCCTATAAAACGACTGATGTTCCAAGAATTACCTATTCATATTAATTAAAAATTCATTAATTATTCTTACTTTATTATCGCATTTACTTCGTGATAAAAATCCAGCTTTATTTATTATTGAAAACTGATGACTAATCCAATGAATATCTCGTTGGTAACCAGATCAGTGGAATTTTAATTGACCTGGAATAACCGACTGATAAGCGGGGTGGCTTGACTGGTTCTACTGATAAAGGAGTCTATGAACACCAAAGACGCTTATTTCATTGGTCAATTGCCAGATCAGTGGACAGTCTGGAATAATCTCGACCAATAATAGGGGTGGCCGGACCTATAAGGGAGTCCACTTGCTATCGTGTAACTGGTTCGTTTAAATTTTTGTCTTACTGTGATTGGTTTGACCGATTTCGACTGATAGCCAACAGAACTAACATAGTCAAGCACACTGTCTGAATTAAATGTTTGATCGTTTCATAGTAATTTTCTAAAGCATGATAGAAACTAAACTACAATCAGATGGAATTTATGGAAATCTTTACAAATTAATATATTGATATGAATGCCCAAACTGGGAATTTTTAAGAGGGCGAAAAATTTATGTATGAATTGTAAATGCTTGGCAAAGACGATCTCGCGAGCGACATTTCAGTCATTGATGTTCAAAAGCAAGCCAACGTTGTTTTGATTTTTATCAGCAGAAATTTACATCGAAAATCGTAAGTAAAGGACAAGTGAAGTGTATGCATGAATGCAATATATCAAAGTCAATTTATGCGAGTGTGTGATGCGATTAATGTTAATATGGCGTATGGTAAGCAGATTGATGCTTCTAAAATTGTTGTTGCCGAAGGACTTTTAGCTATGATTTCTTTAATGCTTGGTGAATCGTGGCCGTTATATGGCAGCGAAATCCTACATTTTGGCAAATATATTTCAATGGACAAAAAATCTGTAGCCATAAGGTGCCATACTATTATTTACTTTATCATAAACAAATGTTTGGGGCTTTTCAGTATATGATCATTGATCATTCAATCATTGGACAGTTATACTACATATTGTTTAAGATTTGAGAAAACTAACATTGATTACATGAGAAGCTGTTTACTATAATCTGTGATTTTGAGTCTTCTGATCCATGAAGCTTTTTATTTTGACAATTTGACTGAAATGGTATTACACATACATGAAAGGTTGTCCCATGCCATCTCATATATTGTCCCTATTTCTAACTGAACACCTCATGTAGAGATGTAAAGGTGTGTTAATCTATGGCTCATACCAGATTGTGTTTGCCATAAATTCCAAAAGGCTATTTATATATGAAAAGCATTTTCTATAAAGTAAAAATGTCTTTCTATGTATGCAGATAAACCTTGAAATTTGGAAAAACAGCAAAGTATTTTTCATGATGACTAGGTAATTTTTCTGATGATCAGTATAATTTCCAAAGTAAATTATTTCGGATTTACATTTAAACGAGCTTTGATCATATGAAAAGATATTTATCATAACCAGTAAGCATTACACATGAACCAATTTTAACATTCATGTAATTATATAATTAGAGACATGTTGGTTACATTCTGTTTGTATTTGATAATACAATGCTACTAGTGATTGCTATATAGCACACATTGCAGAAGATAATAGTCTAGTGAAATGCCTAATAAATATTTATGGCCTTAAGATGTCCTTAACTGCAAATTTTCACTCTAATAATTTTTGCTTAATCTTTGGCAGAAAAAAATTTTGAGTTTTTTCTCAAAAAGAGAATTTGCTGGCACTGTTGTGGAGATGGGTAAAGGTTTACAATAAACTTGCATGGTTTGAAGTCTGAGCTTTTCTTTATAAATGAACTGTCACTTGTCGTACCAAATTTGATAATATAACTCATTACATAGAGGTTTGAATGGCGGTCTCTAGGGGGTCTAGGCCTGACAACTTGGTAGAAATTTTTAAAGACTACATCTGTTTTTGAATAGCATTATTGTAAAATAAATTTTATGTTCCTAGAAATGCTAAAGAGCCATATATTCGGCAAACATTCAAGTATTGTTCACTTCATTTTTTTTTTGGAAAAAAAACGTAAGCAAAATATGTTGTTTCTACGCAAAAACGATGCCCACAAAATACATTTTGTATTGCTCTAAAACGCTGAAAATGGAATTTTTAAGGCTCTGAAATTCAAAATTTCTCAGGGGAGAATGCCTCAGACCCCTCCAGGTGCGGAGCGCCTCCAACGTTTTATGACTGATGTTTGAAAAATTCTAGATCCGCCCGTGGTTCCAGTCTCCTTATAGTTCACTGCTTGCATGCGAAGACACGGCGCGCCGCTAAGTCAGTAGTCAAATACAAAAGAATATTTTATCTATTTAATGTGGCCACCACACATAATTCTCTGGACGATGGTTTTAATTCAAGAACAGACGACATATTGGCGAGTATAGTAGCAAACAGAAATTCCAATATTAAGATTTTTTGGTGTAGCGCCTTTCTCATTACGCTTGTGATTTGCATAGTGGCATCCAGTAAATATGATTTTGTAAACAGTAGGAGCCCTTGGGTGGCTAGCCGCGTCCAGTAATCTAATCAGTACCAAGTTTCAGAGTGGAGTGAGACTACAGTTTGTTTCTATACTTTGATCTTGGTTAGATGAGGGATCAAGGATCAAGTTCTCATATATTAGACAGTGATCTAATGCCTATTGTATGTTCAAGGGCTCGTTGCTTCCAAGTGGAACTGTTTTAAACCACGATATACTGCAAAAACATTTGTATAAATTATAATCAAGAAAGTTGTTATGCTTTTTGTATCATGTTTCACTAAGCTTATCCTATGACTTAAGTAGAGCTTTCAAATATCGCATGCAATTTCCATTAAAGTTATAAAACTTGGCGCAATTATATGCTGAACTTGTGAGAAATCTTTCAATATTTTTCACTTTGCAAATTACAACTTGCAATGAATCATTGAAAAGAGTCATTAATTTCTTGTAATTTTGAACAAGGTTATGCGACGAAAATGACTTGTTCAGGATCTGCTTTTGACCAATCTATCACAATGCCCTGACACCCTGGCTGATTTGTAGGCCGATTATTGGGATATATGTTTATATGAGATAATATGACATAGACTGAGCAACTGTTGCTTACAATTACACGAGAACAAGACGCTAAATAAAAAACGTACCTTACATGCCAAGTTGAAAATGATATGTTATTCAGATAATGTTTAAGTTGTCGTTTAACTGCGCTAATTCAATACGCACGATGTCGTTGTTTGCATCACTCATTTGAAAAAAAACCTTGCCTACATTGAATCGTTTTTTTTTTTTTTATCAAGCACTTTTGCTTGAGCGTCATGTGATTGTTGCTATTAAAATTAGAAACGTATTAGTATATATACAACTTGCCTTAATGCATACTCTTCCTTTTAAGAATAAGGGAAGATGCTTTAATAAGGTAATAGCTCTTAAAAGGGAGAAGCGAATCACTTAAAAAACAGAGTTCCGGTTTTCCGTCTTTCACAAAACCCGTGATTTCTATGCGGTCTTTTTGAACTTTTGGAATTTTTATGGACATTTTTAACTTTTGTATGTGTAATTTTTTGTTACTTTTGTATGTTGAGAAGGTAGAGTCTGTGTGTAAGTTTCAGTACACAAACCATGCTTAACTGCGAACAAACCCATAAAAAGCAGCGAGAAAGGCAGTAATTGTCATTACTCGTTATTACTTAGTTATATTTTGATTACTTACAACCAATTTAAGTCAACTAACATCAAATGCAGGATCTAAGCCACTCTAATTTTTACTCCTATAATGCAAATATTTTAGTTTTTAATTACTGCAGAACATTAAATTGTACAAATTTTCTTGAAAAATTCATAATAATTTTTTTTAAATATTTTTCATTGCATTATTAAATGATTGGCCTGGCTTTGCCACTGACCGAATGTTAGCTCACTCCGTTAAGTATTGTTTTTTTATTTTACATCCGTCTGTTGGCTACAACAAAACAAAACTCTCATTTCAAATAGAAAATATTAAAAATAGGGAGCAACAAATTTTTCAATGGGCCATTTCACTTAGGGATATATGTCTAATTAAAAGTTATAACTCTCAATTTAAAACTGTCATGAAAAATGTTTGGAGGGGACAATGCCAACTTTCCCCTGCATGGCTACTCTCCTAAAGTAAGAGATCAAAACCTCTTTTGCTCAATAAAAACAGCAAGTTGCTATAATAATGCTAAAGCATAGTTGTTATTATAATGCTTTTTTGTACAAAGTATATGCCCTTCAACCCTGCTGCTATTTAAGGTTAAAATCAATGAATTCTGATTATGCCTAAAGTATTAAAATATATATTCAAAGTACGATTCTGTAATAATGACTTTGGAAAGAACTAAATGTTTTGTTGAAAAATTTCCATAATTATTTTATTATCTTACGTAATACTTTTAAGGGCATTAGGCGTTGACGAATTCGGCAAGAATTGACTATATATTCAGTTTTGCCCTACTTATATACTGAAAACAATTAACTGACAGTATTAGCATTTATAACGTAGATTGCCATGAAGTTGCATTTTACAGATAGAGGAAAATGCTCAGGCGCGTGCTGCTCTCAGTTGTTAATGCTTTTCTAAAGGGCAGAAATTGCTCGGGTGCGCGACTGTTCGAGAATATAAACGTGACTGCTGTCAACAAAACACAGTTATTTCTGCAAAGCTGAGAAAACACCTAATTGCTTTTAATTTCATTCATCGAATAAGAAGGGTAAGAATGAGAAAGGACTTTCGCGAAAGGCCTATAAAATGTTTTGAATATGAGAGCAAAACAACGCTTTCAAAAGTAGAATGTATCCAACTTTTAAGCGTACATGAGTTTTATTGATCATTTGAACTTGACTAAGTGGCGCATGCCTATTATAATGAACCTTGCGAGCATTTTGCCCTACAGCGTATAATGCAGCTCATGGATATTTCCCTTTAGGGGCTGCTCACATCAGTCCGAGTAAACGGGGTTTATCAAGATAAAGTGCAATATTAATCATTAATTTACAATATATTTAGTCAAAAAATTTTGTGGGAGTTCGATTTGCTAAGATATTGAATAAAATTTATGGTAGCTTTTTTTTGCAGTGTACGTATTTTTGCTCAATTGTATAAGACATACTATAAAATTGGACATGGAATAAATTTACAATTTTTATAAATGGTCAGCTGTTCTGCCTTTTTTACGTAACGCATATATTGTTTCTGAAATTTACTCCAAATCATATACATTTTTTCTTCTAAGAAAACTTTGGGTTTTTTTGTACAAACATAGTAAGAGACACCTATACTTAGCTGTGCATGTTTCTCTAAATCAGCTCTTAAGTTATGTTTAGCACAGGCAGTGGGCACTTTACACAGTGGGCATCCACACAATTTATCAATATGATTTTCTTAATATTTAGACGGCTGAAAGACAAAAAAAGGAGCTGCTGTTCTGCTAGAGACATGATTGAAAATCGTATGAAGTCCATTTTTGCTACTTTGATTGCAGTTGTTTTTCTCTTCATCTCCTGTTTATGGTGGTTAGCAAATTTCGATAGATTTTCTTACGGACCACTTTTTTCAAATGAAAAAAGTAGCAATATTCATCAAAATCAAAGATTCATTTACTTGATACAGACTGAGAGTTGCTTGCACGAGCACTTGATGAGTACAGCAATATTTGGACAAAAGTCAGAGAACGATGTTCTTGTCCTATCTTTTGAGAGCATTTGTACAAAAAAAAATTTAAGACAAACTTATAACATCCAGTACATTTTTAAGCCAGATACAACCTGGAGCGAAGGTAGAAACATTTTGTATGAACGGGCGATAAATTCTTCAAAGGACTATACCTATTATGTTTTCATGGATGGTGACCTAACATTTCATTTTACAAGTTCAAAATTTGAGAGAGTATTTTCAAAGAATCAAAGCTCACCCTTGCAAACTTTTGAAAGACTTCTCTTGGAATACGAGCCTGCAATTGGCATACCTTGGTTTTGCTCCAAATGGTCTCAAAACCAGTATCCATTATGCTGGAGACCACATAGGTATCCTTTTCGAGAGGTGTTGCCCGTTAGCATTCATTTTGATGCTGCTTGTAATGCATTTCACAAAATGCAATAAAGTATTTGCTTCCTTACCGATTAATGTACGAACATCGGAGTTGGCATGACAGTCAGAAATTTCTTATCATGGCCGCTGATTTAATATTCCGTGGCCAAATTGTACATATCCTTCCAGTTACTACGACCAACGCAAAGCATAGAAAATATCCCAAAACAATTGGGATAATTGGGCACATTTGTATGGGATATTGCTGAATGAAATACCTCCACAATACAGGAAAGTCAACAACTGGCTTCCAAACGAAAAATTGGTGAAATTCACACCAGTCATACGTAACGAAACTGTATATACGCCATATATGAGAGTAAAGATTCCAAATCATCGAATTTATATCGAACCCTACAGATATTTGAAAAATTTTGAAGTTGATAAGTTTTATAATTGACGAATCTCATACTTTTTGCTATACAAAGAAGCAAGATGATCGCTGGAAAATACGATACCTTTAAAGGACCAAGATCAAAAGCTGAACTGCATGATTTATGTATAGAACACAAGCAAAAATTGTTTAAAATTATTTCCAGAATTAATTTCTGAGGACATTTATTTTCATATAGGTGGACCTATGATGTCTGATTTGCATTGTTAGCTCTCAAGTTCACCCAAATGATCTTCTCAGTTTTTTCATAAGCCAAGAATAATCAATTTTTATTTTTAGAGTAAGCAACGAAGTCAAAACCACGAAAACTGATGTTAAGTTGAGGTTATTGATTTAGTGAATAGTTAAGACAACTCGCAAATATTTATTTAAGTTTGCATTACTCTATCACAAATGCAATCCAAGTTTATTTAGGCAGAAACTCTTCATTGTTTACAGGTTTGTTGAAAATGCTTACGCCATCAACGAAACAATTTCAAATTCCGCTTGTTTTGGGGTTAATTCAAAGCGCTTGTTACAAAATAAATCTAAACAATGAGAGGAGCTTGAGTAAACAAGAGTAAAGAAAACTGTGCTTTGAAGTTTTAAGAATTACACTATTAATGAATAATTGTTAACCAAATTGCAACGTGCGCTCAGATGATCTTTGCAGCCATTTTCTTGGTTGAATAAATAGTCAAACTTTATATTGCACTATAATCCATTCAGATCCGTTTAGATATTCTATGCATCTTTTGTTGATCTATAAAAAATTGTGTTTTTGTTTAGGTCAAAAAATATTTTCAGAAGCTTGCTAGTTATATTTTTATAAACTTATCTGTTTGGGTGGGCAAATAGTTGTTCAAAACAGATGGTAAGCCAAACGGTTGAAAACATGAATAATCTAGGATGAGGAAAACTTTGTTTTCAAATTATGAAATTGTATTTGGAATAAGACACTTTTGACTATTGTCGAAGTATTACGAAAAGTTTAAGAGAAAGTATATCGTGTGATGGAACATATTATCTTATTCAGCAAGAATATAAACAAACAAAAGGCGCACGATGTATTGTGGTTGACAACGATTATTTACTGATTGATTTAACAAATTTGAGAACATTTTTATTAAAAAATATTGATGTTTCCATGGCTCGACGACGTATGGCATGGCTATTTTACGTTATGTATTAATGGAAGAGGGAACTGTATCAACTAGTATGCCTTTTGTAGGAAATTTATATGCTGACTTTGTGAAGCAAGTAACTTTTATGACATCAAATTATAGATAAACTTAAAAATAGGTTTTAAGTGCCAAGATTATATAATGAATATATTTACAAAGTGGCAACTATCTTAATTTGCCAACTTTGCTGGAAATTACGATCATGTTTTGCTATCCCATCAAGCATGTACGTCTAAAAAAATACCACTAACCAAAAATTCACAACAAAGTCATGATTTAAAAAGCATTGCAGTCAGGAAAAGACATTTGTCGGTAAGTACAATTTTTATAAATGAATTTCACACTTTGATTATCAGCTCCATTTAATCAAGGTTTAAAGATTGATTTAATATTTTTTCTGTTTCTGATATACTACAAAGAATTAAAAGCAACTTCCAAAACATATAACACTTTTCACTTGGTAAAAGCTAATTTTTAACAATTTAAGGAGTGAGATGTGAATATAAGGTAGATATTCTTAGTAAACTATACTCTTTTGTTAAATTTTTTTAAAATTACTTGCCACCAGTGGAGTACTCAGTGGCAAATAACTAATTTCGTGGTCCGTAGACAAAGACAAAGATGTTGGACTTAAAATCGGATATCTATTTTCCTCCAACTAGGTCCAGTCTCCTGACGACATTTGCGTTTCTTACACTAATTAACAATTGCATCCCCCATCTTGTATTTGTAAGTCAAATAGTAACAACAATTAGGGATGCATTTAAAGTTTGCACTGGGAAAACTCGCAACTTCATGAGCTCTGAGCGTCGTGCATTTCAACAGAAGATCGCGCAGTTTTTAACTTTTGAACAGAAGTTCGCGCATGTTTTAATAGCACCATTGGCTTCAATAACATTTAACTAGCGTGGAGTGGCAAAATGTAAAAATTAATTACGTCTAGATACAACGGCCTCTCGAAAGCATGTCCTGCATAGGCTTCACTGACTATAGTGAAAGACTGGGGTGATAACTCGTATGTAATTGAATGAAGCCATTTGTTGGCTAAACAGTCACTTTTTGTTCACAGCACATGCACGTGTTGTTAATTCGATTAGACTTTCAGAGCTAGCCAACACTAAAATTTGCGTAAGTCTATAGAGTGAGCATCCAATAGTAGGAGTTTCTTTGACGTTGTTTCGACGTTTCGACATCGGAATATTAAGCGCTTTCCGGCAAATTGTCAAAAAATATATTCTGCTCATTGTAGAAACTATTTGGACAAACAAAATAAGAGTTGCGAACCTTGTATTGTTTAAGAAAGCTTTAATCCAGCGTAGACATTTACTGAGTTGAGAACACGGTTACATAATTACGAAGGCAGTGGTACTCGAAGAGCACAAACGAAAGGTGATACATCAATTCTAATTCACACGGTAAAAAAAAACAAAACATAAAAACATCACAGCACTCCAAAACTTGCTTAGTTCTTTTGCACAAATTCCATTTCAACAAGAAAAAGGCAAGATTGGTATTGAATGATGGTCATCAAATCAATATAAGAAAGGATACTGGCCTCTCTTCCTAGAAGTCACCTATCCTATTTGCATCTATTATCCCACTGCAACAAATCAAACAAACCAACAAAGGAGATATAAATTTGCAGCACGAGCGTCTTAGACATCTCAACACAACCGATGTAAAATTTGTAGCACGAGTGACGTGCAAGCCAACCTATACCAAAAAAGGAAGAAGGAAACGTCAAAAAGGTCTTAAACTTGTTTATTCCATTATTCTAGCACCTTTTAAAGTAGCTAAATATGCAGTAACATTCGTAGATGAGGACAAGAAGAAAGCAGTTGTGAATTACAGCAGCAAAAAATCACAAGTACTCAAAAAAACTTAAAGATTATGTAGCTGAAACAGGATCACTCAGGTGCTTACGAACCAATAATGGTGTAGAGTACATTTCAAATGATTTCAAAAAAATTCTGAAAATGTTCTAAATTCTGAAAATGTTCTAAAAAGAAATCAAGAATTCACAGAGTACGACAAAGTTGGCGAATGTCTGCAGGAGACTTCAAACATAACGGAACAGCCACAAATCAAAGGAAAAGGCGACGTAGAACAACTTCCATGAAAATAGAAATAGAAGAACACCTGGAAGTATATAAGATACTTTACCCATTTTAAATTTGCATTTGAAGACTGCAACCATTGTTCCAAAATTTCAGCAATAAATACAATAATTCTGTACAAAACATCCATATTACCAATAAGATATGATATTATGCAATATCCAATACCTTTTCCGTCTTATATATATCATATAGTTACCATTACAATTTTTTCAATAATATTTTTTTCAATTATATTTTCTTCCATCTTCAATTTCTTTATTAAAAATAATCATTCGACCACCATCAATGAATTTAGATATATATTCTGATTTCATAATAATTTGACTTAAATCTTTTTCTTCATCAAAATCTTTACCTTTCTCAAATATAAAAGTAATACTATGATTTGAAGATTTTCCCATCATCAATTAGAAATCAAAACAGTCAAATCAAATATAAATCCTTTATTGAAGATTTCTCATTGTCATCGATGAAAAAAAGATAAGAAATTCGAATTAACTTAAAAAAATAAAAGATAAGACATATGATTAAAAAAAAGAAAGAAATTCAAATTTTTTTAAAATAAAATAAAAGATAAGAAATGTTAATTTGTTCTATTAATTTACTAAAAAGATAACATATAAATCCTTAATATAATTGTAGTGGAAGATAAGCATATTAGTATTGCATAAAGAAAGATGGAAAAGTATGATATGAATCATGCTCATTACCCTTCCAAAAATAAAGGTGGATTATTTGGAATTTATTTTAATTCGTCATTTGGAAAGTCAACATTTCGTGAATTTAATAATATTACTTCACATAATCGTCTTTCTCCTCTAAAAACATGTAAGCAATCATTATGTCCAAAAATATCTATTGTGAAATTGAATCTTCTGTAGAATAAAACGTTTTTTCTGAAATTAACAAAATAATACCAATATAAAATGAAGAAATTACAAAAATGGAAGAAAACCGTGCAAAGAAAATTGATGAATTTATAAATCTTCTAAGAATGGAATTTGAGTTGAATATTAAAGAAATGTATGAGAAAATAAAAAAGATATAAAAAAAGACAAAAAAATAAGAATTTTTCATTAATTTAAAGTAGAATTATTAGAAAATAATTATGTAGGAAGAATGTTGTGGGGTATATACTTAAAGAAAGTCATATAAGAAAGTCATATAAGCAAGCCTCAGAACGATTGTTTACTAATAATCATATTAAGGGTTGCTTTCATGGTGTTATTTACATGATGTCTAAGAAACTGATAAATGCATCAAGACACAATACAAAACAAAATACTAAACCATTGAACTGTATTAACAATCTTGACAAGCACTCTGAGAAATATCCTAATGCAAAATGTGACTGCAAAAAAAAGTACTTCGTAGGCGAATTACTTTGGAGAGGAAATATTGTTCATTGGATGCAAAACCCGAAAGAAAGAACCAGTGGAATCAACTTTATTATGAAGAAAAAGAATATTATCCCTTTCCATATAAATCGAGTAGAGGTGAAGCTGAAATTGTTCCTTATTGTTTTCATTTGTCGTTAATATAAAAAGAATATCCATATACGCTTTAGAATTTGGTGGTAAAAATTGTAAAGGTGTGGAAGAGTGGGGTATTCTTTCAAATATCTGTTACAAAGCTTGTGTTTGTTTACAAATACGGTACTGGCTTTTGAGACTTTTTTAACATAAATCAAATGTGTGATACAGCTGAAAATTAGAATTTCTTAACTGTCGACTTTGTCTTAAAACGCAGCTACCTGTACCATCAGTAAATGTTTCAAAGCGAAGCGATTTGTATCATCAATAAATTGGAGTTTGGACTTTCTTGAATAAATTGGTAAGAAATAACTCAACGCACTTGGTATCAGATATATTCAAAATGAATTCGACACGGAAAAGAAAACATATAAATATGGAAATAGAAGATAAAGTATCTGATTATGAAGAAAGAATTCGCACAATTTCATCTATAATGTAAGATTTGATACGCATTGTTGGTTTTTAATTATGTGACAAAAACTACAAGCAAGTACATCAATATTTGGTGTGTTGTTTAAATCATTCATATAGAATCAAAGAATTGGAAAAGGATTTCAAATAACTAATGAAATATGTTGCCATGGGTTTTAGTGTGTTGTGAATATGAGTGTTGTTAATAATATTAGAGTGTAGTGTTTTAGTTTGGGTGTTGTTTGTAGTTTTTTTGTCCTTTTTCTTTAGTTGTGTGTATATGACGGGTATGTGGATATGTCTGTTTGTTGTGCCGTTGTTTTTACTGTACCAAGCTTCTTTAAATTCGCGTGCGTGTTTAGTCTGTGCGCGTCCGAGTATTTTAGTTTCTGTCCAGTCGAATATGTGGTTATTTCGTGGGTATGTTCTGCTGGTAGTGAGTTCGGATCTCGTCGTT